TAGACGTGCAGGAATAAATATGGGAAGTGCACATGCAATATTATGTTACGTATGTCATCACACGTAGCATAAATTAGTTTCATCTATTACAACAAACTTCATGTGTACCTAAGAATATTCCACAATGTCAAATACAAAAAAAAGAACACATAGTACTTCATGTGAAACTAGCGTGGTTACTGAATGTGGTTCATACTTGCTAGACGTACAGGAGTAAATATGGTCAATTCACACGCAACATCTGGCGGCCTGCGCTATTATTTAATCGTAGCGTAAAGTCGTGACGCCCCCCAGCGGTGCTATCTCACGTGTGACTCCCGTTCACACTCAGCCTTCCATTTGCTTTCTCCTCCATCCTTTCGCTCTCGTTGCCGCTCCGTGAAACACTTTCGCCGTCCTTCCGCTGGTTCTTCTTTACGATCTCTCCTTGCCATCTTGTATGCTTGAGGTCACCTTCCGGTATTTGAAGTTCTTGCCAAGTCCGCGTTAAATAACCGCTCGGATTTTTGTTCCTGGTTCGGACGGGCGTGACTAATAAGTAGGTTGGAGTGGGTTTGAAGTATCTCGAGGCTGATGCAGGCGTTTCCGGAGGTTCGTGAAGGAAATGGCGGTTGAATCTTGGGAAGTTAAAAGCAGTTTTTGAACACAGAGATAAGTTCGTGAATGTTCTATCTGATCGCAGAGTTCTTGGCAGGATGCTATACAAATAATTTCCTGTTTTAAAAACGTGTGTATCCCAGGTTTTCAATTTATAATTACAAGACTTGAAAAAATTGTAAATACTTCAAATTACTCCGTATTTTGGCTTCAATTTTTGCTTCTGGTTGTATCGTGCAGGGCCAATGAAACCTTGGAGTTATTTTAAAGCGTCTCGCCGGTTGAATCGGGCGTTTTTAAAACGAAGCGTGTCTAAATAATAAAACTAAAAGTGGCCGGAAAAATAATCCAATATGACAATCCTGCAAATATCAAATTTGTGGCAGTTTTATCTTTTTACAGAATTTTACGTATCGACATTAAAACTGTCCCTTTTTCCTAGGCTGTGATTAATATTATAAAAAATTACTATTTCTACTCAAAAGACAATTACACGTGTATTCGAAAAATAAAATAGCACATAGAGTAACAAAGCAGATTCAAAATCAAACTGTCGTTTACTTTTTGTGTCAGTTGTATTTGTTATATTCTAGCGGATCACACTGTTTCCTCATTGTTTTTATTCGAGTGTGTGGAAGCAGTTGATTTTTTTTCGGGTTTTCTCTTCCTGTAACATCTCTTTCGTGACACAGCTGTTTTCGCTTAGAAATACCCTAGTTTTTCACGAAACCTTTCAAAGTATCATCTTGCATTGCATAACACGGTTTATGTTTTGTGTTGGATTTCATCTAAAGAAAGCGATTGGAATGTTTTACTGAGCAATAATCATTGTGGTCATGCCCTTTCCATCGATGTAATCAATTGTTTTCCTAAAGAGAAATAAATCTTTTTACAAGAAATGTATGCTCAGATTATCTGAACGCTTTTAGGAATAGCTGCTCCAACATTTAAAATACAATTCGAATTTACTAATAATCTTTAGAATCCAAGTATGAAAAATAAATTTCCCATTATAATCTTAAGTGGTCATACATAGATGCGTATTTAAGTATTGTAAGTTGTTGCCTTAAACTTTCGATTTTTTTATCTAAACTAGAACATACTTCTGGTGAAATCGGACCTCATCCCATTTTTTTCGTTTTGACAAGCAAAAGAAAGAATATGATATTTGTAATGATCATATTTTCTTTTCGTCCTTTTCTGATAGACAATACAAGTAGTATTGATTTTATGATAGTGCAATATTGCTGACGTAATAAACAAATTCTTCGTGCTACTTACAGAACTAAAATGAAGAAAGAACTTTATAGAGTTTAAATATATTTGTGTAGAATATTTAGAAATTTCGGTCAAGTAAAGCAATCTCATTGAACCAATTAGTTTCCCTCCAAAATAGTTCATGTCATCAATTACCAAAAACCAGCACGTCATGCACGCTATTGGAACTAATCACGCGATCTAGGTTATCCGTTTTATAGTCACAGTAATCGGCAATGGTGAAACTTCTTTTTCTGCTACGATACCACAAGGATACGAGAACAAACGAAGAGCGGCGTGCGAATCTAGTAAAAGTGTAGCGCATCTTTGATCAATGAGAGTTTGTTTCCCAGCCCACGGGATTCACAAGGGGGACTTTCCAGAACCGCAAGAAAGCAGGCGAGGCTTTTGCCGGAAGGAAGGTGGTGGTGAAATCCACAAACAGAATTAGAGGTTTTTTTTCGACTGGAACAGTGCGCCGCTCGACAATTGATTCAAGTTTCAGGGCACGTCAAGTGTTATAGTCACTATTCTCGTTGGGCCAATTCTCGATCAGGTTTTCGTCCAGTTTTCCTGACCTTCGAGCAAATGCTGAACATAACTGTAACTTGAAATTAACTTCTCCCCATAGAACGTCGCAGTTTTTAACTTTTTTGCCGTAAATAAATAAATAGTGCAGTGAATGTTTTTTTTTTTCGAGTGAGGAGGCAAACTTGCTCCCTTTTTGATGATGAGATTCGGTGGCAACTCATACGTTGACTTGCAGAGAGTTTCTCTTCTCAGGTATCTCCCCCTAGTGAGGCACCACCCTCTCCCGAAAAAAGCTCTAAGCTCACGAACAGTAGTAATGTAAGTGGTGACGATAGGACAAGAAAGAGGAAGGAAAGATAGCGTGAGGTCCGTGTCCCGTTTGTTAGGGTGCTGCTCCGACATTCGCCTGGTGTTGATGGGAGAAACCACGGGAAAACTACCGATCAGAGTAGCCGGCCACTAGAATTTTTCTTGACAGCGACAGAACTCGACCGAGCTACTTAACTAGTGTCGAAAATCGGGACTTGAATCATGAGACCTTTATGTCAGTGTCTCTGGAAGGGCATCTTTAAGTTAAACTTAGCCGGTTCCCTGAAGGAAATACCTAGAGAGGAAACCCCCAATCTGACTTGTAGGTCGACGACTGACCTTACGTTTCAGGTATATCGCCACCTCCCAGGATATAACGGCACTGACGAACCTAATGGCCCAAGTAGTTTTTTGCTTCCAAAAAACTAAATACTTAGTCACTCAAAGGCCGCTTCGGGCGTACTCAGACGGAGCCCAGACAGTAGACAGTTGAGAAGAAACAAAACTGCAGCGTCAGGCCGGAAATCGATTGTTGCTTGCGGTTAAAGGAAGCGTCTTGTTCGCATTGGTACAAAGAGCAGACTTGCCCTGATCTGGATTCACGACATCGTGACCCGGAAAGGCTGGGCAAGACGATGTTTTAATATAGTATGAGCACAAAGTCTTGTCACAAAGACTTCAGAGTATTCTAGTGCGATGTGTAAATCTTTCCATTACAGAGATTAGGGGGGATGTTTTCATAAATATTTATAATACAAGAATGTGGCGTATTTTAATAGGATTGTTGTTTGATTATTTCGTAATTCAAAGATTAGAGGTTAGTATTCTAATATGGTAAGGGGAATTTTCATGATTTAATGATTAGATGGTGTTCCAGTAGGGACATTATAAGTACGGTGGACTAATGTTCCCTGGAGCAGTACAACATTAGTTGCGTTCTCGATCATGAGACAAAATTGGCGAATTGAGACGAAATTAACTATCGATGAAAAATTTCATTTCTCCTGTATTTCACTAAAATGTGTTAAACATTTCATTTCTAATTATTTTATAACTCTAACAATAGTTCGAAGTATTCGACTCGACAATAGTCGACGTGTTCGACTTGACAATAGTAGAAGTGTTCGACTCGAAATATAGTGAAGACGGCTTACCCAGGAACGTCTTACGAGAAAAGAAAAGTCGTGCTTACGCAACTCGCGAAAGTTATGGAAGTTTCTAAATTGCCATTACATGTGCATCCGCTGACGGATATGCGCTTTGTCCCTTTTACATATAATACTCGAAAGCAAAGATAAGTCTATACGACGCCAACGACACAAATCCCCATAATTGTGTTCATGGTGGTTATGGAATTTCCTGTTACAGGTACATCTAAGACTTTAAAACGAAATCCTAAATTTTTTACATTATTCTATGAAGAAAGCGTAGTAAAATCAGAAGTTTATGAAATTCAAGCAAACATTGTATTGATTACCTCCCATCGAGATTAACTTGAAAACGCTGCGCTGTAGGCTCTTAAAATTCGATAATATGTATCAAGAGAAATGTTTCTCAGACTACCGCCATCTCTTGTTATCTTCTTCAAAATGACACACTTCCACCTCCATTCTTTCACGTATTTACCGTGTAGTTTTGTAATGTTACTTGAAATCAGGACTACTGTTTTCTTCTTCTTCCATATGAAACCTTAATATTTTCTTTGAATATATAGCATTGTTATTTGATATATAACGTAGAGTTTACCTTCAGGGAGAAAAAAATTATTTTACATTTTTTCTTACTAATTTTCTACCAAGATAGTGGTACGTCTTATTAAAGACGAACGATCTCATGACCTTAGTCACAATCACGTAAAAAGAAAACTTTAACAAAATATAAAATATTTTAACAAAAGTACTAGTTCCGGGTAAAAGTTCCCATCTTAACGGATACACCAACGAACCGATACACCAACATTTTAAAAATAAATAAAATATCGAGGTTTAAATGATAGAATTGTTTTATATAATTACTTTTTAAGTACTTACCACAGAAAACGTGATAAAAGCAAAGGCTATACGAGAATAGAAATGTATAAAGGTAGAATGTATAATAGCCATGGCCTGTATAATAACAGTTTAGTCTCAAAAGGTCAAAAGGAAATTAATAGATTCATTAAGCAACTAACTTTTATACATCTGCTCATTTAGACATGTTTATCTACTTTTTTAAACAACTTTGATATATATATATATATATATATATATAAGTTACTTTCTTTACTGCTCATTTATTTTGAACACCCGATGCTCTCTGTGTTGTAGCAGCCGCTCCTGCCATCAAAACTATAGCCGCCCCCATTGCCTTGCCCAGCTTGTCTTTCAGCAAGATCTGGTAACCGCCAACAGCCCCAATGAACCCTCCACCGCTGACACAGACTCCTCCTGCGCTTCACCCGGCCGCCGCAAAGCAGCGCCACCGTCGCTCTCTACGTCAACAAGAAACGACCATCGACAACACAACATCGATCATGCTCGGTTTGCAACAATCACGAGTGCCGAGTACATCTGCGTTGAGATGGAAGGACTAACTGAAGTCAACCTGCGCAAATTACGATTAAGTTCGTATCGAATGGATTTCTTCTGAGATTAATTCGTATTGCCAAATCATGCAGAAGGTCGAAAATGACAATACGTTGTCGAAATTTGCAGACGTTGAAGATGTACAACTCATATGTTGACTTCATCATTTCCTGCTCAGAAAATTCGACAAGACCTTTTTGTTTTAATAACTTTAATACTGAAGTTACCTTTGGCAGTATTCACCACAATCAAAACTTTTTTCCATCACAACGCAATATAAATAATTTTTAATCAAGGACGGTGTGACGATCAAAAGAAATTACACAACGAACGGCGGCTTCAGGAGCTAGTCTACGGAACCCGATGCCACTATTCTTGTCTTTTAATACTCACAAAGAAGAATGCTTATTTGCTCAACTTACGTTTTTTTATTCATATTCATTACATAAGCTTCATCATTCTCACATCAATTTGCCAACGTTGGCTGTTGACCTTTCAGAACATTTGCTATTGGCAACATTAACGCTTATAAACCCTTTGCCACTGAAACAATGCACCTGCAACTTCTGTAAGGGGAACTGCCAATGGTACAAAAATGGGCCATACGAGTACAAAAGGTGGTTTCATTTTTTCTAGACGCTTATATGCGCTGAGCAGATATTAATTTTGCCAGGATTCGATTCATTTCATACTCATGCGTAAGGTATGGTTCTCCGAAACGTGTTTTTTTACTGCATTCCAAAGGATTTTGAATGTAAAATACGAGAGAAGTAAATTTTAACTTCTGGAAACCTAATGTCTGTCTTGAGTATTACTGATGTTCTTAGTTTAAAAATTATGTTGAACTACGTTAACCTCTTAGTTTATTCAGAACTCAGGAACCACGTACTTAACCCACTCCATGATTCATATTCACGGTTTAATGAATACTTTAATTATGTAATTCGGTTTTTCTACATGATCGAGTTGCAAATGCTGAGATCATTAATTGCATCAGCAATAGTCAAGGAGAAAACATCACGTCAGATAACTCTAGACAGACTGAAGGTAGGACTAGATGCTCGACTTGTTGGCTGTCCAGACCTTGCCTGATTGGCCTGGTGGGAATGTTATACGCCAACTCCTAAGAGATTTGCCTTCGGATGCATTGCTCATTTGGAAACCTGCTGAGCATAGAATATAGATGATCGAATCGTTATCAGAGTGATTCTTAAAATCCTCCTTCATTAAGTCGAAGGATTTCGGAAGTTCATTAAAAAAACGCGTCATCATAAGAAAACAATCAAAAATCTTTTCTTTTGGAAGCAGTAATCCCTCATCTCGCAAAAAGTTTCTTTCAAACGCAATATGTGGATTTAGATTCACGCGCAATACTTGCGCAGGTACAAATAATCGTTTATTAATACATTTACACTTCTTCCTATTTCTCAGAGATAGGAAAATCAACTCTACGATTTATCGTGTAGACACCGAGACAAACGATTTTCTCCAAAGTTGAAAAATCAATCCCGAACCATAAATAATCGTACGATCTAACGAACCAGGTATACGCTGTAGCGGTCTGTGCTAGGAGCGTGGTAGAGAAGACAAAACCGGAACCGGAAGGAGTTAGGAGATCGTTGGAGAGCTTAGCAACGGTTCTGTAGTTGCTGAAGTTGCCTCGTTGCCTGCTCCGAAGGATGTGCTCAATTCTTCGATACCACTGTTGCGGGTCCATGACAGCTACATGTTGCCTGGGATGTTAATTCACTATTTGCCTAACCTGCTCAGAGCAATGTTTCTATTGTGTTCATATCCCCTTCTTGTGCTCGCCATTTTGTGCAATTTCTGTTTACATGCAATGTATCATATATGTAGATTTTTGTACTTTCGTATGTTCGTTAATAAATGTGTATATTTTGCTGAAACGTTCGTTGTGTTGAAGTACTACCTTAATCCGGTTTGTAAGCCCCCCATCGATTCCTGAATTGTGTTTCTGAATTTGCCTGAATGAATCTGAATTCCTGGATTTGCCTTAGCTTCTAAGATATTTCATGTTATGAAATAGGAATTATTTTACTTATTTAACGGTAAAACCAGCTTAATAGGGATAGGTACAATCTGTATCCATATATCTGTATACACAAGGGTAAGTACAATCTGTACTCGGCAATTATATTAAATCAGCTTTCGAATAAATTTTCGCTCACCTTTTCTTCAACAACATAAAATATACTGAGATGGGTTCTTTACTTTGCTTCTGGTCATTAATGTAGCTACATTATGGGGCAAGTGCCGCGAAAGATGGTTTTATTTTGTCAGCAGTACTACAAAATCAAATCTGTAGCTCAGTTACCAATTAAAGTATTTTATAATACTCTGGAGCGAAAATGTCTAGAATTCAAATGTTGTCGACTGCAATCGTTGATATGTACAAACATATTTGTATACTCAAAACAATGAATATACAAATACAAGTATATTAATTGTTCATACAAATATATGTATATTCAAGCATAAATCAACCCTTTATATAGGCTGTCTGAGAATAAATGTTATAAACTTCTATGGTATGTAGGGTTGGGAAATGATAACTTTTTGTCGATGAACGTACACAGAGAAACTGTTGATAACGAATTTGTATGCAAAAATTCTTGGCTATCCGGGAGACGCCGCGTCGTTGGCTGAGAGGCCGACGTTTCGCCTGACATGTCGCAGGCTTCCCCAGGGCTGTGAATACCCGGATAGTCAAGGATTTATGAAATAGAGCTGCCAAAGCTTACGTGTGGATTTGTATGCATTTATACATGTGGCATTTGACCCTAATTTTTGACCACACAGTAATCACAGACGTTTCTGTTCTTCAAAGTCATATATTTAAATGAGAGTGTGTACAATTAAAAAAATATGTGATGCAATATGCTAAGCTTATGATATGATATGATGTGAATGAATACATATATTTAATAATTGACTGTCGTTAAATATAGCGAGATACCTTTATAAATGAAACCGTCGGAATTCTCTCATTCTTTACAGAAAGCTTAGTGTACCTGCAACTTTACTTAAAAGTTGTGGGTTCTCTAGGACGACCTAAGGATGAAATCGAGAATGAACTAACCGCGTAGTGATTATTATTGAAAAAAATTCAGTTAACAAAACACTTTTTTTCTTACTAATCTTCTTAATTTCTGGTATTAAAATTTCTCTGATGTGTTCGAAAGAACTAACAGATTATTTCACTGATTTCTAAATATTATTGAACGTCGTTGAACTTAATAATTTGTTGAACTGAATTTAACTGTATTTTAAAAAATCTGAAGTCTTCACTTTTATTCTTTAAAATATATATCGTGTAGGAAAATTTTCGTTATCAACAGTAAGGGACTAAAAATCCTCTGGTACCCGTGACTATCAGATATATTTTAAATGAGAGCGCAGATCAAACACTTCAACTTTGACAACTTTATGACGGCTCAATTATCTCAATGACCAATATGTCAAAACCGAATATGCATATGCAGAATACAGAATGATGAACTGCAAGAAGTGTTATGCTGAAAATGCGGAAGATTTGTTACTCTCCTCCTACTCCCGACTGTCTCAAATCTGATATTTGCATTTTTTTCTTTTGTGAATTTTCATTTCAAATGAATTTGTCTATCTGTGTTCATACAGCTTGTACTTCCATATTTTTTCAATAAATATAAATTCTTGTTGTGTTTTCTTTTATATCCACCCTCACTATAACATTTTTCTAAGCAATACCTAATACTTTGACCATTGCATACGTCTTGGTCGATTTGAGATATTGAGTGACCATTGGGTGTGTATTAAATTTGTAATGTAGTTCACCTTTATATTGTAACATATAAAAACTGAAATGAATGTTCAGATGTTGCATTGGCTAAATATTGCATAATGTCTTATTAGCAAAATATTGCAATAATCAGACTTGTTTATAGAACATTTCACTCATATTCAACCCTATCATTGTACATTTCACGTTTAAATACATCCGTTTTGTTTGCACAAGCCTGCAGTGATAAGCCAATTGAATTTTGCATTTGACATGTGAGATTCTTCGTTCTCTGTGTTATATTTCAGAGAGAAGAATATTAATATGGCAATTTTACAAAGCTAATGAACTTCACCTACATCTCATAGACCTCACTTTTTTTGATGAATTATATGTATTAAGGATCTAATTATATCACATTTGGACATTTCTCTTTATTAAATTTATAATAATAATAATAATAATAATAATAAATAATATCGATAATAATAACAATAATTGCATAGCATTTTGTCCAAAGTAATGTAGAGGCACCGGCAGTCCCTACATCTGCTGCTTAGGGAACTGATAACAACCTGGAGTGGACATTATATTCAACCGACTCATAACATCTTTAGTCGTAAAGTATAGGATTAAGAATAATGGTAATAATAATAATAATAATAATAATAATAATAATAATAATAATAATATCTTAATTTATGTCTTAGTCCAGGCCGTAAAGCCTACTCTTTCGCCTTGTCACTGCAATGAATTTATATTTACAAAAATTACAGTTGTGTTTCCATTTATATTTACGAACATTATTGTTGTGTGTTGTTTATGTTCTTATATTTGTAATTTAGTATGTTAATTATGTTCCAATACTTTATTTTCAGACATTGAGCCACCTGTGATATAGCTATCAGAATGTTCAGATTCCATCTCCTAGTAACAGGGTTAAAAGCTTGGTTACCCCATGCGCAATTTGTGATGGTAAAATTGGTTTGTTCGTATACTGCAGCATTGCATTTCTTCACTATGTTACGACTCACAGATCTTAATTAAAGCATGTACTGCCGTTAGTTTCGTTAATGACGATACTATCCCAGATGTGGAATAGTCTAAAACGTTTCGAAGAGTCTCGTTCACCAAAAATACTTAAAGGCTCGGATGGCTTACCTCAACGAAAAGTTAGTGAAGAGCTTATTTACTCAATAAATTACTCGTAATTGGCGTTCTTCTTTCAAGCAACAAACAATTTATTTCTCTTCGATTATCTCTAGAGTGTATCTTCATAACATTTATGTGAAGTTCAGTATTCAATTTACGTATTTTACTTTGTTCCTACAGAGCAGAGAGAAAGTAATGTAAAGCTGCACAAAATTTGGCGAATTTTTCATAAGAAAACTTTCATTACAAGACCCTGTTAACGAAAAAGTGGATTAATCCAGTTGCTAAATTTAGGGGAAAATATCCTCTAACACCTGTTGCCAGAATCCATATTTTGTGGGCCCTTGATACCGAAAAATCGAATGACGGCAAAAACTCTGTCCATTTGTTTGTCTGTCCGTACGTCTGTCCGTCCGTCCGTCCGTCCGTCTGCGATCAAAGCTAGCGTCGAAGCCATTCAGCCTATTTTTTTCAAAATTGATACACCTCAATCGATCTGACTGATGACGCGGCCCCTTGAATTTGAAACCGGTATGTCAATTTTGAAAGGTATTTTACATGAAACCCCTGGGACATTTTTGTTGAATGGCTTCATCGTTTTGATTACATTTTGTCTTGTATAAAAGACGTTGAAGAAAGTGGTTCAGGTGTCATGTTCGTCAAAAACCCTAATTTTCAAAAATTGCAAACTTTCAAACTTTTTCGGAGTTTTCCTGCAGCTTAAATATTGATAATAGATATTTTTCCTTAAATGAAATCTCCGATCAACACCAGGCAAATCTCCTATCAACACCACGCGAATGCAATACGCTAACAAGCGGACCGGGCGCAATCATTCTTTCTTTTCTTTGTTCTATCCTCTCTCCTTTTTTGGACCTTTTCATCATTTTTGTAATTTTTTTATGCATTTGTTTCCTTTTCGTGTTTTTTGTTAGTGAATGTTTCATGAATTGACAATGACACACGCAAACAAAGCTTTTGCGTGTATTATTTCATGAAATTCACTAATGAAATTGGACTGTGTTTGGAACTCTCAAAATTACACAAATCGTCGGCAAGTTTCCCGAAGGTGCCAGGATTTTTGACACTTGCTTGTTAGCTAGGTCGAATTCAGTCGTTATTTAGAGGAGAACCCTAGTGGTGTGTTGCTCTGATCGGTATATTTCCAGGAATTCTCCGATCAACACCAGGCCAATGCCGGAGCAGTACCCTAACAAACGGACCACGCACCGCGCGCGGTCTTTCCTTCCTCTTCCTTGTCCTATCCTCTCCCCTTACACTAGCATGCACCACACTCCACACATGGCGGGTGACCGGTGGGGAGCTTAGAGATCTTCCCGGCTGTGATGGTTAAGATCAACACCAGGCGAAGGCTGGAGCAGTACCCTAACAAACGGGCCGCGGACCGCGCGCGATCTTTCCTTCCTCTTCCTTGTACTATCCTCTCCCCTTACACTAGCCTGCACCACACTCCACACATGGCGGGAGACCGGT